CGGCAACGCCGTCTCTCTAAATAAATGTAGTAGGTTGATGGAGATGACTTTCATTAATTCATGTAATGACCTCAACAACGCCGCATCAGAATTCCCACAATAAATACATTTGTGTTATAAATACAGCAGTCGTAGTAGGCCTTTTCAATATTTTCATATCAGATATCCCTCCATCTACCAATTTCCGCACAGCTTTATATATCAATGATACAGTTTAATTTACGTCTAACTCCCAGCCACTTGAGTCCATTTCAAATCTACACGTCGCTCAACACAATTTCTGGGAATTGGTTGGTAATCGAGAATTAAGTTTGAACCCATCAAAATGTGAATCAAAACGATCCTAAAACACATCCCGGACGTGATCCCATTAAAGATTTCCAAATCCCATCTCCGACAGACACACAAAAAACCATTAAATATAGTATAGTTCTATCATATACCCGACTAACCGACCTTGCACATTCTCTCCCCTTGAATTCTAGTACACATCTTCCACCAAAAGTTGTCATCTGTGTGATTAACACGCGATCATCCCTGCTTATGCAAAAAACTCTATGTTAATTTTTTTGGTTATTTAAATAAGCAAGTTATAAGTCTTAAGTATGTTTAAATACTTCTAAATGTAATGTGCATTATATTGCTATGAAATCCATCTCGAAGTTGGGAAGAGACGAACATTTACTTTATTTTAATACGGCCATGTGCTGGCTAGCTAACTAATAGAAATTGTCCTCTTTCTTTATAGCGTGCATTTATGATTCCAAAGGAATTTGCCAAGCCTCTCCCCCGTCCGCGACACAATAGGGGACAGCTACCGGTTCAGGCCAGATGATACGACACGATCGTGCCAAGGAAACACGCCGAGCACTACGGCGCGTCCAAGGTTAAGAATGAAGTACGGGCTCTTATGGCAACAGCGATCCCAAACGTGGCAGCTTTCTGCTGTACTGTATGAATCGAAAGTTACGCGCTCGATGGTGACGATGAATTTCGCAATGAGGTGGAGCGCTAGTTTAGCGCTAAAGCAGTTTGTCTCGATCCTTTCCAAATTTATGAAAACGTATTTTCTTCCTTTTCCTCAAATCTAAAACTATTCCTAAGAGACTTCGATACACTGGAAACGTTTCTGTTAAGCTTCTCACGTTCTTTGTGCTTCGAAATGTCATTAAGAAATCAGGAATAAATATTAATTTTAACGTGCACCACTGTTTCAATACAAAGTTCAAAATTCTAGCCAACTACATGAAGACGCAAAAAATCCAATCCTCTTGTTTACTTTGTAACAGTACAGAAATAATAAGTTTTCATTACCAAACAAAATATTTAAATTTGCACTGACGACCAAATAAGTTGGGCCCACGGGAAGAAACTGATTTGATTCATGGGAAACCGAGCTGCCTCGCGCCGGAAGAGTGGACAGTCATCTCCCGGTAGGCATTGAATACGAATCCCGTTCAGGATACAATTATAGTTGAATAGTTAAAAACCTTAACAACCATTTGTTTTTACCCGCTACGGAGCACTTTAGCACATTTGCGCTGTGCGGTTGATGGATCATACTTCTAAATTAGGTCTCCAAAGAAAAATAAATTAAATTTCAAATAATGTAAATTAATAACTGTACCCCAACCTAAAAACCAAAATGAAGGAAAGTAAACGAAATTACTTTTAACTTTCTATCTTCTGGGCTCTCTGGGATGCGCCGCGTCTCGGTCTTTGCACAAACTCCAGCCGCAGAAGCCCACGCAATCATACATTGGACTTTAGCGTGGTTGAAACCATAAATCTCAAAAACTAAACACAGGCGAGCGAACAAAAAAAGGTAAACAACTGGAACGCGAACTTTCTGAGCACAGTATGATACCGCGACCGAAGCTCGTGGCACCGCAGGTGAGGCTGATCCAACAGTCGAACTTATCCCTTCCTACAAAAAAATAATCACTAAAGATATTCCTCAGGATTTGCGATAAATATATCATGTATTCTATGTATTATTTTGCTAATATAATTGTTGCTATGAAAAATCAGGTTAATGAGTACTTAAAACAGTTTTGAAATCTTCAAAACGAGGGATGTTTGTTTACCGGAAAAGCCCATAAGGCCCTGTCCCTGTACTTCATTCTTAACCTCGGACGCGCCATAACGACCGCTAGACGATCGTTACCTTAAAATTGAAATTCTGCAATCTCATTTCTGTAGAAGTTCACCCAACCACACACGAGTAGCTGGCCCTGAAGTATGGGAAGATGCAGCGGGTCATGCATCAATTGATGTGGTTTCCGAACCTATTCGAAGCTCGTTAAGAAACTTTACCGAATCGCCTTCCTGAACAGACGCGCCCGCGATCTGCTGCGGCAAGCACAACACCCCGGACTTCGTTTCCATGGCTAGTTACTGCGTAAAATGTCCGCTGGTGATGGACTCTAGGTATTTTATTGATTGAACGATGTTTCCGGGCATATCAACTGCTATGGTCATTCGTAACGTTAGTGTAGTTAATGTTTTTCTACCTGGAAGTGGCGATGTTTCTCCCTCGCTCTATGGTGATATGCGGCGCCGACCTACACGTCGGCTTGCTGGGGGGGTTCCCCTCCAGGAATCTCCCCCCACCGCCCCAGGCGCAACAAGCCAAACAACGCTCATTGCCACCTTTTCATAATTCAGAGTAATACGTGTGAAAAATAAATGACGAATGAATTTTATAGCAGCAACTGCTGACTCTTAATCCATTTGACCTAGAATATCCGATAAGCTCATCCGTTAAAATGGGCAATGATACGTTTGAACAAGTTCTGACTTCTCAGTCAGCTTCCAGAGCCGCTAGAGTACGATTTATGTATACGTGCGTTTGAAGTAAATCAGCTGTTGACTATCATCGGGAGCGTGTATGTCCCTACAGTGACTTCACTATGGTGACGTTCAAGTTCCAGATTGGATGAAACCGTCAACAGCTGATTTACTTCAAATGTACGCATACATAAATCCAAGTATAGAGTGAGGTCGTATTTGCGGAGTCTGTCGCCCAGCATGGATTTCCAAAAACGCATTAACATAAGTTTTGTTTCCAGATGCAAAAAATTGCAAATGAAGCTCATGAAATGTTAAAATCAGTGTATGACACTAATGTGGTGACTCTGAAGACTGTTTGAAGACTCTATACTTGGATTTGGTGACTCTGAAGTGGTATGAGCGATTTAAAAGCGTAAATGAGTTGGTTGAATTCGAGCAAGAGTCGGGACGTCCTTCGACCTCAAAAACAGATGAAAATGTGCAAAACTGGTAAAACGTTTTCGTTCAAAGAGGCGAATGACTCGTCGAAAGCTTGTACGAGTCCGTGCAAAGTATTTTAACCGATAATTTGGAAATGAGACGACCAGACAAATGAACCAATGGCTTCCTTCTTCAACGCGCCGTGCGACATGTTGCTCTTGATTCACGGTTTTTGCCCGGAAAAGTGTTCTGTCTGTCAACATCCACATGCTTGCCAAATCAGCACCATGTGACTTGTGGCTTTTCCAAAAAATAAAAACTTACTGAAAGGGAAACGTTTTGACACCATTCCCGACATTGAGAGCGGCGCCACAACAGCTGAATGTCCTTCCGAAATAAGCCTTTCAGAAATTATTTCAGTCATGGATTCAAAGTTGGGACAAGTGCATCGCTAGATTGAAGGAGATTAATTCAAATTCTATGTGAGCTTACTAGTCATACTTTGTGATAAAAGCATTCACCCTGTTTTTAACACACCTTTTATGTATAATATATAAAATGGAAGAAATACCAGAGCTCAAGAAATCGTGCAGAAATTGCACTTTATTTATGTCACACAGTTTTTAACTGGATTTGACGTTAAATAAATAAAACTCTAAGCTCCGAACTGGTCTCTCGACGAATGGTAATTTAGTGCATGTAAGTGTATGTGTGTGTGTATGAAGAAAGAGGAAGGAAAGATCGTGCACGGTCTGTGGGCCGTTTGTTAGGGTTCTGCGCGGAATTGTTCGAAGAAACCCCGGAAAACTACCGATTAAAGCGTTGGCATTAGCCATTCCCAATTGGCATAACCAATCCCAACCTCTGTCTGTCTACCACCTTCACAAATAAAACTAATTTTCTGATATTTTTATCCACATCTAGGGTGACAACAACACTAGTGGCCACAGTAACATTTTCGTAGTTTTCTCAAAATCATGGGCTAATACACTAAATTTGTTTTGTGAAACTCAATACATATATCTTTCCGAATAAATTCTTTATGTAAAAATGGCCTATTTTTATTCGTTCTATTTTTGAATAATTTATTTCCAAGCATTAATTTTGTTCCAGTTGTGGCAACATAAAAATTGTTTAAAAAGTGAAGGTTTCCCTCCTTGAGAATAGTGAGTAAATAGAATATGATGCAAAGACTGTGCCCATTGATGAAAGTGATACAACGCAGGGTTACGGTCTAACAGGGTGAGCTTGTGGCGGAGAGGGGCCCCGCGCAGACGTAATGAAAGGCAGACGGGGTCGTGAAAAGCGGCCTGGGCGGAAGCACAGGTCCATTTGGCGAGGCAGAAGCACCACTACGGCGCTGAAACGCAGATCTACTTCCCGCGTTTCCATTATTCTCCTTGGGGTTACTTCTTTCATAGCGCGTACATCAGCTTGCAGCGAAACGTGTGGCTATGAATAATATACGATGAGATTCTCCCAGTCTGTTGGAGCTGCCCTCCCGGTACATTCCAGTTTATCCGTCTCCCTGGAGCAAGAGGCGTGAATGGAATTTGTTAAGAGGGCAGAATGTGCAAATATTGTTTTGGGAAATGCTGTCTTCTAAATGGGGTACAAGTTTTACAAGCAATTTCAAGCAATTATTCTCTGATTCATAATAACATATGACCTTATTTAATGCAAGGCAATGGAACAAACAAAGAATAAACGTCTAAGTATTGATTGGCGAAATATTGATGACAGATAACAAGCTGGACTTTTATATACTGCGATATGGCAGCCGTTATCTGACATTTTAGCGATGGGATTTCTCTTAATTTACTTTATATAGATTATATTTCGTATACTTTACATTTTACATTTACACATTTATATTTTATACCAGACTTCATACTTGAACTTTACACTTTATATGTATTTTATCCATCGTGCGCGAGATTTTAATGCGCGTAAGCGAAAAATATTCCCTACAGATTAAAATTAGTTGGTTTTCTTTCTTTCTTTCATGCAATATTTAGAACATTAGGTAAAATTATGATATTGATTCGTTATAATCAGCTATTTTAATTCACAAAAATTAATTCGAATCTGCTGTAGGTCACTGAATAAGTAAACAAATATTTAAGACGAAAGAAATTCTGTAAGCGCACTTTTTATATTTTTTTATCTGAATAGAGAACTTTCGACTCTACGGAATATATAAACAAATATAATAAAAATTCAACTTCGAGTAATGTAATTTTTTCGAGTTCGGTCCACCACTAATAATCATTTTAACTTACCTAATTATTACTTACGATTGTCGATGAAAGGCGTTGAGCGGATAATGCATCACATTTGGTATCATATCCACATCCACATCGTGATTCACATCCCAAATGAAATAACCTGTGAGATGCACGTGTGATTATGGAATAATTCATTATTCTTATGATATATTCCTTTTCATTGATACTTAAAAACAGCTCCAGAATTTATGACTTCTTTGTACCTGCCTCGCACAATTGAAAAATCTAACGTAGATTTCATAAAATATTCTAGAGAAACATCTTCTGAAGTCGCAAGTTTTTCTTTTACGTTTATTTTTTGCACTGAGGATACACCAATTGCATGTGTGGCAACTAGATATGTAAATATAATAATTTAATTACATTATCTTGTTTCAGTGCGTTCATTCTATTAATTTCTGAGGGTTTCGTCGTTCGGGAATTATACAAATGATTTAAAGAAACAAACATTTACGAGAAGGCTTTATTGATCTACACTGTTGTCCAACACTTTAGTATTCTTTCAATAGGATCCAAATAATAAAAATTATACAAATATTTCATTATTATTTGATCCAAATAATATTTTTGATGTACTTGACAGAAGCTCGATGATTACATGCCATTCAAACATGGACGTGATGGTAGAAAAGTTGAAAGCATACTTATGGATATTCTGGTAATCCTTCCGCAAAATTTAGAATTCCCTTAAAGGAAAATCATTACGAAAGTCACATTTATTAAGCTAGGGCAATACGTGATCAGTTACACCGTACACATCCCCCTTTCTCAAGCATAAATTCACAATACATTACTTTTTACTTGAAGATAAAATAATCTTTTTTTCTCTGCATATGGAATAGACTCAGCGAAACAACTCAACAGAGTACACAAAAATACTCTATTCTTACATCTAAATAAACATGAAAAGCTAAAACTAAATTCTACTGGTAATGGTAATTATACTGAAGTTGACTTGAACAATGGATAAAATGATTGGGTAAGGAATATCTTCTATAAAATTTGTGAAATGCTCTGAAGAATCATCAGAGAGCCTCAATCGATAATAAAATTACAAGTATCATTGTTATAAATGTAGTGTCTGTAGCCAATTAGTCGAGATCAGAACGACTAAAAGGTATATTTCTTGGTACAATGGGACAATAGCCCAATCACTAATCCGTCAGCAAATGGAGAGTTGGGAGTCAAATGAAACAAATCCTCTGTCATTCGTTATGTATGTATGAATTCATAATTAATATACGTCTTCACATTGTCAGCTACTTCACATTTCACATGAGCAATAACACTCTTTTCCCATTCCGAAAAAATAATGCGACAGTTTTTGTGCTTACATTGTTTTTCTGTATTTTATTGTTTTGCAGTTTTGCAGTCTCGTGCATTGACACGAAGAGATTTTGTTTTATTTGACATGTACTTGAGAGGGAAGTTACAAAGAAATTGGGTCCACAAAGGGTACAGATCACTGCGTTTGGCGCACCAGGCGATATCCATCGCAAGTCCAGTCACTGTGCTGAGTGGTGGCGTACGGGTAGACCTTAGCCACCTGCATGGACCCCTGAAACACAGTAAGAATACATAAATGAAGATTGGGAAAGGCTAAATGAATGTGTTGCATTTGGCGTGTCTCAAGACTTTTCAGAGGGTGCCACCTGTAGGGTCGGATTCATATTTCAAGGGATCCTAAGCATAACCAAAATATGAAGCGCCATTATAATATTGAATATATTAAACCTAAATAAACACAATGAAAACAGTATAAAAATTCCATTCACATGTATAAAATTCAAGTAATCAATGGTCGTGTTTCAGGAATCCGTCAACCTATTTTTGACAAACATTGGAATCAAATACAAACCATTGGAGAAACAAAATTTAAAATTTTGAGACAAATCACAGAAAATACAATTCAGCGTTTGACAATATAAAATATGTCCAACTAACAACTTTTTAAACTTTTTCGTCAACTTAACAATGTATCTGATTGAAAAAATGTTGAAAAAATAAGAAAATAATTTATACTATCAGAGAAAACATTTAAAAATATTTTCTTAGCGTCAAATTCAAACGCAAAATTCAAAAAAATATAAAAATAATTTTACTTACTTTAAACCCTGGAATAGGTTGAAGAAATTCTCTCTCAAAACACAATTCGTGATTTATTTACGATATTTTCGATTGCTAAGCTATAGTTTAAAAAAATTAAAAAAACAACATTTTTACCATTTCCCAGTTCCCAGTCCCCTTTAAATCACATCGACTTTAAATACACTCTCAAATTGGCTGCAACAATTATCTGCTTTTCTTGTAGAGCTTCTTATACATATGTAATAAAAATTGTTATTCTACAAAAAACAACGAAACTTTTTTGTTTTAATAATCGAACCGACATTTTGATTAAAAAAACAGATTCGCGTTTATAATAACAGAAAAGAGAAATTATTATAATGACATTGAGTATAATAGAAAATATTTTGTTGAAATAACTGGTTCGCCTTTTACTTTCTCGCTACGAAGTAGAGAGAAAGTTATGTAAAGGTGCCAAAAAAACGGCGAATTTTCGGCAGAAAAACTCTTATTACAGGACCCTAGTGACGAAAGAGTGGATAAATCTAGTTGCTAAATTTAGAAAAAAAATCCTCTAACACGTGGGATACGCTAGCGGATAAACCGTTTAGTTGCATTGGAACTGAGCTGCCGCACGTGGGTCGGCCAGCTGACCCCACAAAGTTGTCTACACAAGCTTCTCTTGTGCCCGTTCTGCGGTGAATGACAAGAGAAATTTTTGAAGATTATTAATAGTGAACGGATTTCCATGAAAATACGTATGTTTACAGGAAGAAGATAACATTAGATAATTATTTTAAAGTTTGGATAACATTCTGATTGCATTTAAACAATTTTTCAAGTAAATATTTTTACATATGTTGCTCTAATTACAAACAAGGGACATCCACGAAATAAGAATACAACACCTGTCAAAATAAAATAAAATCTATATTTTAATGAAATTTACAGGATATGTGCGAAAATATGTTACCATTTCTTCACATTATCGCCGTTCAATTGAATGCACTTTTGAAGCCTAGACACAAGTTTTGTATATCCTTGTCGTATAGTAAGTATTCCTTTAGTTTCGTAAAAATATGGTTATTTTAAAGTGCAAGGTCCGGGGAGTATGGCGGGTAACTCACAATGCCCCATCCAAACGACACGAGCAGGTCTTCAGTGAGCCGTGCGGTACGGGGTCTGGCGGTGTGACGGAGTGATACCTAACGAGTCAGCATTCCCAACCCCGTAATTGAGTTTTTCAACTTCTTTATGGTCTCACTACACGCAGCAACACTGGTGATCCCTTTGGACATGAAATCAACCCACAAGATCCCGTTCCGATCCCAAAAGACGAATGCCATTATTTCCTCTGGGAATGATGAACTATGGATTTTTTGGATGTTGGTGAATGGGTAGGTGCCACTGCGAAGAGTGCTTTTTTGAATCAGAAATTATAGTGATACATCCACGTTTCGTTCCCTGAAACAATCAAATTGAGAAAAGATTCACCCTGACGTGAGTTAGAAAACATAAGAGAAAATTCGCAAGCGGCCGAACCCGCGAGTTTTTCGTTATTACGGAGACTATACATTTGGCACCCGCCGTGCACATAATTTCCTAAACGCAAATTCTAACCCGATTAAACCCAGGAAACTTCGTGAAACATGTGAGAAACGTTCATTAAGGGCGAGAAGAGTCACACGACGATCATCGCGCACAATATTTTGATTGATTAATTATGAGTGATTCTGGGCACCTCAACTGCTACGGTAATTAGTAACGTAAGTGTAGTGCATCTTTTCCTCGGAAGGTGGCGGAGATCTCCCCCCGCTGGTTGGCGAGTTCCGGCGCCGACCTACCGTCGGCTATCGGGCGTTTCCCCAACCAGGTATCTCCCACCAGCGGGGCAAGCTCTAATTTTCCAAGGTCTCCCGGCATGTGTAGTAATGTAGTGCATGTTAGTGTGTGTGTAAGTAAGGGGGTGAGGATAAGACAAGGAAGGAAAGATCGCGCGCGCGGAATGTGACCCGTATGTTAGGGTGCTAATCCGGCTTTCGCTTGGTGTTGATAAGAGACATCACGAAAAACTACCGATCAGCGGCAGCTAGAATTCTCCTCCAGACAGCGACTAAATTTGACCTAGCTCTAACTAAAAAATAGAATCCACTGTGCATGCCCGAACGTGGCGTCCCCCTCCAAAGCTATAAATATTTCTCCGCCGGTTTGCGCTCTTTGTCACAACATAGCTCTTTTTCTCCGTCTTCCTCTGGTGGTTCGCGCGGTAATTCAACACTGCGAGTAGGGCGATAACAAACTGACGAGTGAGGAGGATCCGACGAAAGGCCTCTTACGCGTTTCTACACTAGGCGTTGCTATTAACAGAAAATAAACCGTGTCTTGAAGAAGGGTTTCAGTTTTCGGTCTCCAGTCCCAGTTCTGCAGTGAATAGCTAGCAGTGACAGTTTGTTTTGTTCAGTTTATGATCAAATAATCATTGAACTTCGCCACATTCCTCTCCGTCTTCCACCGTACCGTTCAAATCTAAATCCAATACACCTTTTTTGGGATTTATAATAGGGAACGTGGCATCGGAAACAATCAGCGCATCCTTAAAAGAAAAAAAAATATTTTGCATAGAAGCGTATGCACAATAGAGCGCTGAACAATGGAAGAAATGCTGTGTGCATGTGTAGGGAACAGAGGTGACATGCAATCATTCATATAATGTAATAGACCAACACATCGATGAATTCGTTACATTTTTGGACACTTCTGGCGGTGCGAGTTCGTCATCTGTCGATCAGGGCAGTTATGAGTGACCTGCGATAGCTGCGTCTCGTAGTCGCCTCTCCTTGTCGCCCACACATTTCTTTATAGCCTTATCTCCGAAATCTAATGATGCGCAGGGGGGGGGGGGAGAAGCCTCGAGACTTCACTAAAGGAGATCCGCCATTAAGGTTATTTTGCGCGTGGTCCCGCTATAGTGTCGACAATAGTGCCTCCCTCGGCACTCGAACCTACAACCTCCCGGTCAGAGGCACTGCAGAGAAATTAGCTGATGTTTTAAGCCACCTTTTCTGGTACAGTTGTTTGAACTTGCTGCACAAGCTCTTTACAAACGACAAACGTCTCTGACTCGTTTCTTCGTCGTAGGTGTCCTAAAATATCCTAACCAACTAGGTAACATTCTGGCGATTCATTCATCGGATTCGTAAGGTTTCCTCAATCTGGAGACGGATACTAATTCGCGACGCAATATGAGGAAACGAATGACTGAGTGAAATTCACACCTGCGGTACGTGGGGCAAACGGGGACGAACTGGTTGAAGTTTTAAGCTGCTGTGACATTTTTTGACGGACCGAGGCGCTCAATGACTATTGCTTCGTTACATTTTAATACATTTATACGCCAATAGTAAATATTATATGAAACTAGTATGCGAATAAAAATTCCTGGAATCGTTTCTGGGAAACAAAGTAAAGTAATACTGCGCTACTATAACCTTCAGACCTTCGCCATGAATTGTTACCCTCTGCTTCTCGGAAACTGCGTGCTAGGAATCGTGTATACTTGCAAAACAGAAGTAATGGCAACCACATGCTTGCTCATGTTTCATAGGTCGCATGTGTAACTGAATCGAAAACTCAGACAAACATTTCTTACAGGCCATTGTCTTATCACATTTCCTGCACGTCGTCGAGAACCTAACATTTCCTGCACATCGCCCCTCAGTCAGGGGGCAGAATTTGGAATCTATTCATAGATTCTCACCCGCTCGAGGCCCATGGAAACTACTCCTTTAAAATGCGACGCGATCAATCTGTGGCATTTGCTTCCAATAAATTGAGTTCAATTACAAAGTTTGATGAGTATTACACCTACTTAAATCATTCGACCCGTAAGTGTAGTACATGTTATGTCACTTGTCGTGGACGTGTTCCTCCCCTTATTTTATGAAACGAATTCTTCAGAACGCCGTTTCTGATACGGCGGTACCGTGACACCTGAAAATCGACACTGCAGTACAAAACTTCCGGTATCGCCTTCTCGACATCATATTCTTTTTCATGCCCAAAGAGTGTCTCTTGTCCCTAGTTTCTGGATCAGGTCTCCGGCAGATTCCGTGCTTCCTAGGGTTAGTGAGGGGCAACAAATCTGCTGGCTTGGTGGCTGGCAGGCTTATAGTACCGATGCAGGCGCATGTGCGAGTGAGGTGCAGATACGCTTTTCCCCGGACGTGTCCTCTTTTCGATGCAAGAAAAACCGCCCGGGTGGGTTTTACAAGAAAGGACGAAATATCCTCTTTTTTTATTGAAAGGTATTTCTTTTAAATGCAACCTATGATGTGCGACGAATATGGGCTTTTTTGCGAAAGAAATGCGCTTTTTTCAACTTATTCGTGTCTCCTACATCATAACAATTGTATAAATAAATGTATTAATGAATGACATTTAACTTCAATTACCTCGCCTATCACCCACCAAAATCCATAGATCAATTGTCCT